AACATTGAGCGCTTCAAGGCTCGATTAGTTGCACGAGGTTTCACCCAAGTTTCCGGCCTTCATCATGATGAGACTTTCAGTCCAGTTGTGAAGTCGGCAACAATTCGTTTGGTTATAGCTCTCTTGACTTCGCTGAAGTGGCATATGCGTCAATTAGACGTTAAGAACGCTTTCCTGCATGGCCACTTAAGGGAAACTGTTTACATGGAGCAGCCCCCGGGATTCATCATTCATAGCTATCTTGATCATGTATGTCTTCTTAAGATATCCTTATAGGGTCATAAGCAAGCGCCGCGTGCTTGGTTTGATCGACTCTCCCAATTTCTCCTTCACCTTGGTTTTTACTGTAGCAAGGCCGATTCGTCACTTTTCATCTACCGCACCAACACTATTATTGCCATTCTCCTTATTTATGTCGATGATATTCTCGTTGATGGTAATAATGATACTTTTATTACCAACCTGATCAATCACCTCGGTAACGAGTTTGCCATTAAGGATCTTGGCTCACTTCGATATTTTCTTGGAGTAGAAATAAAATATTTTGCTGGTGGAGTTCATTTGTCCCAAACAAAGTATATTCAAGACCTGCTTACTCGTACAAAGATGATTGAAAGCACTCCCATGTCTACACCAATGGTTCAAAAGGAAAAACCATCAGCTTCAGAGATGAATCTGGTTGATCCAACTGAATTTCGAAGCATTGTTGGTGTCCTCCAATATCTGACCTTCACTCGCTCTGACATTATTTACTCCGTAAATTATGTATGTCAGTTCTTCAATGCTCCGACACAAATTCATTTGAAGGCAGTGAAACGAATACTTAGGTATTTCAAGGGAACTTCACATTTTGGATTATCCTACCTTGCTCAAAGCCCTCTATCTCTATACGGGTTTACTGATGCAGATTGGGCCGGTTGCCCAATTACAAGGAGAAGTACTACTGGTTTTTGCATTTTCTTAGGTGCAAATTGCATATCGTGGTGTTCAAAGAAGCAACCTACAGTTGCTCGTTCCAGTTCTGAAGTCGAATATCGATCCATGGCTTCCACGACTGCGGAAATAACATAGCTGAACTTTCTCCTTCGAGATATTGGTATCCCTCTTCCGCAGCCTCCTCCACTATTTTGTGACAATATCAGCGCTCTTTATATGTCGGTAAATCCAACTTTCCATGCTCGATCTAAGCATATTGAACTTGATTATCATTTTGTTCGGGAAAAGGTGGCCATGGGTACTCTTGTCACTCGATACATCCCTTCTTCGAACCAACCTGCGGATATCTTCACTAAACCTCTTTCCAAGCAAGCATTTATCTTCTTTCGGGACAAGATGGGAGTCCACGCGCGTTACCCCTCCAACTTGAAGGGGCGTGTTAATGATAATAATCAGTCAAATCATGGCAACACCACAGACGCAATATAAGGAGTTATGTTATGGAATAAAATCATTATGCAAATTATATTGCTGATATGTTGTATCTTCCCTTCCATTCTTTCATTAAAATCAGTTGTATTCATTGTATATATATATTCTACATCGATGAATAACATATCATCACCTTCTCTCCTTATTCAAAATCTTCAATTACATCATTGGTTATTTACAAATCATACAATTCTTAATTAAAAAGTGCTATAGCAATCATTTGATAATTTTTCAGGTATTCCTAAATGGTTTTTCGAAATTATATTTGAGAGAATGGAATATCAAATGGCACGCTAATAGAAGATTGAATGTACGTACGTACCTCAGCGGATTCATCATGCAAAAGGGAATTCAGTGCTTGTTCGAACTTCGAGTAAAGCATGCACGGTTTCTATCATCATTCAATCGGCACGAGAAAATTAGCATATCTGGAAAATAATGAGGTGGTCATATTAATATACCATAGATCGTATAATGAGGTGGGGCCCGCCAAGTTCATTGACACTGATGTTTTGTAAAGATCAACTAGGCCGATCATTGAAACACACTCGTTCCAAATAATAAAATAATTAAAGGACCACTAAATTTCATGTTAAAAATACTTCTCAGCTAAATTTGGAAGATTAATATTCCCAATTAAAGTCCCACTGGAACTAATGGGATTGACTAAATTCACCAAGCGTAGATTCTGTTGCAGTTAACAACATTGGTCATGCAAAATTCCGGAATCTGAAATCAGGTACAAATGCGGAATAAATTGTCTTAAACATCCCTATTGCATTGAGAAAAAATCAAAAAAAAAAAAAATAGATCTTGCAAATTAAAAGTAATTTATGGAGTATAAATGAAGCAGTGATTTTTACCTACGATGAATTAATTAACGAAATGTAAGCACTAAGTAGCACACTGCAAATTAAAGACTATAGCCTAATCATTCCATTTGCATTTGCAGCAGAAAACTATAAACTAGGGATAAGTAACATTGAATAAACGAAAAAAAAAAGAATTACATTTTCTGTAACCCTGTCGTAGTATCTAGTATTTCTACATTGCAATTAAAAATTACATTTTGATACGTATGTATTCTTGGCCGAAAACCTACACGCAAGTGCACGTATCGTACAAGTAATATAGTGGACTAAAAGTCCGGATATCGAACCCACAGGGAATATTTAATTACCTAATCCTAGACGCTAAATTCTACCAATTATTATCAAGCCCACCCTACACAGTCGACTTTAGAGAGAATTAACTAAATTAAAATAAATTAAAAAGCAAATTAAAACGACAAAGCAAGAAAGCAAATTAAACACGAAGATTTATCAGAGTAAACGAGCCTAGGATTTTATTCTTCCCCCTATGTGATTATTATACCCCCAATTCCTTCAATTATGCAAGAAATTAACCCGGATTATTAACCTGAGATGCTAAAATAATCATAACCCGCTTCCACGTGTATTACGATTTTAATACTCTAGATTCAATTACTATATTCATATGCAATTAATTCTAGAACACAGCATTAAGCACAAATCCCAATAATGGCTACCTAAGAGATTAACTATATTCCTATGTTAATACCACAAAGGCTCGTCTACCACAGTTCTAATTATTAACCTGATCTTCCGATTCATGCGATTAACAATAACATAAAAGCACATAAGGTGATCAAGTTCATGCACTTAATAAAACAAGTAGAAGAAATAATCCGGAATTAAAACTTGCATAAAAGTATAGAAAAGGGTTCATAAATCCCACATAGGGATCCAAATAAAATCCTAGAAATAAGAAAATTAGCTACTCATGATTAAAGGAAAAACGCAAATAAAATAAGTCATAAACGATAAATCTATGCTTAGACTCTTCGAATTCTTCGTCTTCGTTATTGCTTTGTTGCTCTTGAAATTGAGTAAAAGATCCATCCCCAATTGTGTGCTTGTCTTGGTCTTATATAGGGTGGAAAATATGGAGAAGAAGGTAGTTTCCTTGTGCAATTAGGATTCCTTTACTGCGCCTTTTCGTCATCTCAGACGGCCGTCCCGAATTTTGTACTAAAACTCGGACGGCCGTCCCAAAACCAGTGGTGGCTTCTGCTTCTCAGACGGCCGTCCCAGTTTTAAGTGTAAATCTGGGACGGCCGTCCCATGCTAATTGCTTCACATTTTTGATTTTTTCACTTTTGGCCCATATTTTCTCCAAAATTGCAGTTTTGACCCCATACTTTTCCAATTCTTCAATTTGTATCTAAAATACAATAAATCAACTTTTTAAGCACCAATAATCGTTAAAACACACCAAAAGCTCAAATAAAAAGGTACGTTAAAGTGTAAAAATATACACTTAACATGTATAACGTGCATGAAACTGGGAAAAAACAAAACACATAAAAGAAATCAACAAATAATTGAATTTTTAATTCGCTTTGATTTCAATGGTACAGAGAGAGAGAGAGAGAGAGAGAGAGAGAGAGAGAGAGAGAGAGAGAGAGAGAGAGAGAGAGAGAGAGAGAGAGGGAGAGGGAGAGAGAGAGAGAGAGAGAGAGAGAGAGAGAGAGAGAGAGAGAGAGAGAGAGAGAGAGAGAGAGAGAGAGAGAGAGAGAGAGAGAGAGAGAGAGAGAGAGAGAGAGAGAGTGAGCCAGACAGAGAGAGAGAGAGAGAGAGAGAGAGAGAGAGAGAGAGAGAGAGAGAGAGAGAGAGAGAGAGAGAGAGACAGAGAGAGAGAGAGAGAGAGAGAGAGAGAGAGAGAGAGAGAGAGAGAGAGAGAGAGAGAGAGAGAGAATGAGGATAGTAGAAATTCGTACCTCAGAGTCCGATGATAGAGATGAAGACCCATTCGTAACTTTAGGAATTCATTACATTATTTTCTAAATGTTTGCATTTAGTTTGAGATATGAATCTTTTGATGAATTAGGGCTGTTTGATTTGGGAATTTTAGTTTTGTGCTGAAGCTGCGTCGTTTTAAAGAAAAGGGGGGAACTGCACTTGTTAATAAGGCAAATTACGGTCAACCCCTAAGATAAGGTCAAATTATGAAAAAATCCCTTATATTTTAAATATTATAACTACAATCTTCACATATGTATTCTCTTACGGAAAACCCCATTTTTCAGTAAGTTAATTTGATACCGTAAGAATAGACGTGTAACACAATACATAAGTGAGGGTGGTTGTAATTACCTAAACATGAGGGTTTTTTTTATAATATAACTTTACCTTAGAGGTGGCCATAATTTGCTCTTCTAATAAATGGCTTCTGTTTGCATGCTTTTGAGAATCAAACTCAAACGATATCCTTCACGATTCCTCAAGGAAAGATTGATCTTCTTTATGCATCACTAATTTCCTACTCAAAAGAAAAATCAAGATAAATGTCCGCATACGTGTAATTCAACTGGTTTCAATAGTAATAACCTGATGTAAGATTCTGGGATTGCGTACTGACACTTACAGTGTGGAAACTTCAACAAAGTTAGTTTATTGGGGGCATCAGGGTCAGGTTTGCTACCCTAACGAGCCGTTGAGTCACCATAATTTTACATTAATTTATCCATCAAATACTTGTCGGGCCAGGGGATGGCGTTCCAGAGTGGTAAGTTAGTGCAAGATCCTATGATCGAGTACTGACAAACACTGTCTGAGAATTTCAACTTCACAGAAGGTTGGTTGCCTTGTGGCCACAGGCCCAGATCGACTATCCTAACCGGCCGTTAAGTCACGATAATTTACATTTCTCCATTATTACTATAATGTAAAGGAATGGATAAAATCTGGTTAGGCAATTCATTCAGGTTAGGTTTGGATGCGGAGGCTTCTTCACCATGGAGATGCATGGTTCACTAGGCTTACGGAATGCTTGAATGCTATAATTTTCTGTTGTCTATGATTGTTGCATGGCAGGCATGGGCTAGAAGAAATAAGGAGGTTAGAAGTGAAGAAGGTTCGCGTCTGGAGGATATGGTCTATTGGAGCGGTGTCTACATGAGTAACTCTACACGGGAGCCCAGCTACTTCCAAACCCTAAATTCCACAACCAATTGCCGAATGTTTGGAAGCCGCCGGATCAAAATACTATAAAAATCAACTTTGATGTAGTTGTTGGGCATGGGAAAAATGGACTTGTTACGGCAGTTGTCGCGAGAAACTATGAGGGACGCAGCTTAGGGTGGAAAGTGGTGAAGGTGCATGGCCAACTCCAACCGCCGGAAGGGGAAGCATTGGCGGCGTTACATGCAATTGAGTTTGCAAAAGACAAGCGCCGGTGATCTTGGCATTAGCAAAGGGGGAAGGTGCATCTTTCTCTTATGGTGCATTTATTGATGTTTGCATTAAGTAATTTGTCGTTTTCTTTCTCTTCTTGTTCGTTTTCCTTTGTTAGACGTAATGGTAATAAATTGTATCATATATAATATTAAATTATCTCATGAAATTGTACAAAAAATATATTTAAAAAATTACTGACACTTGACATAATTAGAGTCCATTAAATTTCAAGAAAACTTACTAATTTTTAGTCCACAATCGACAAGAACTCCTGGTGTATAATAATTAGGGTAAATAACATTTAATCCCCTGTGGTTACAAGCTTTTGCAGATTACACTCTTGTGCTCGTAATATCAGCACATAACCCCCTTTTGGTTTATGGGGTAACTTTCGTTATTTTTTTTGTCAAACTTAACCTCGTGTGTAAAACTTCAAGGGGATCATCTGCAAAAATGAAAAGGAAAATGAAAACACAAGGGAGTCATCTGAAAAAAAAAATAGTTTAACGTTTGACACAGGCGATTAAGCTTGTCGGAAAAACTAAAGGAAGCTAACCCATCAACCACAAGGGGGTTATGTACTGGTATTAGGAGCACAAGAGGGTCGTTAGCAAAAGTTTGTAATCACATGGGATTAAGTGCTATTTACCATAAGAATTAATTAAACTTGATTAATTGAGTCAAAATGACATTGAATGTATTTAGAGTTTCTAATAAGTAATCAAAAGTGGAGATTCATGTATGTGAGTTTATGCAGTAAAGTCAAGAGTCTTGTTTTGGAATTTGTAGCGATTATCCTAATCATTTGTATAAAATAAGAGGTTCAGCCATGCATTACTTTTGCAAGCAAGAAAATCAGCCGAAAATAAAAATTGAAGAGTAGAGAGTGTTGGTTGAGTAGAGCTTCCAAAACTTTTATTATTTAAATATTTTATTAATCCAACCTTCCAACATGTCTGCTAAACTCCCAGCTTCAGATGGTATGACAATTCTTACCAATCAGTGTATTTTTGGTCTCTGTGTTTGTTTTTGTGTGTGTGTGTGTGTGTGTGTGTCTATATATATATATATATATATATATATATATATATATATATATATATACAAAATACACTTTTCCCCCTAAAATTTGAGAAAAAAGATAATCCCTTCGAAATATTATTTTGATTGCACTTTACCCCAAAGCTAATTTTCGGTGGGCATCGTGCAAGAAAAATAACATTTTAAAGCGATGACTCTCTTGTGCTCTTGGTGTATAAGAATTAGGGTAAATAGCATTTAACCTCCCTGTGGTTACAAGCGTGTTTGCAGATGACTCTCTTATGCTCTTAATATGAGCACATAGTTTCCTTGCGGTTTAACCGTATGTGTCAAACTTCAATGGGATCATCTGCAAAAATTTAAAAGGAAAATGAAAGTACAAGGGAGTCATTTGCAAAAAAAATACTTTAACGTTTGATACAGGCGATTAAGCTTGTCGAAAAAAACTAACGCACTACAACAAAAGATACATATTACGACAAAGGGGTTATGTACTGATATTACGAGCACAAGAGGGTTATCTGCAACAGTTTGTAACCACAGGGGGTTAAGTTTTATTTACCCTAAGAATTAATTAAACTTTAATTAATTGAGTCAAAACGACAATGAATGTATTTAGAGTTTCTAGGTAATCAAAAGTGGAGATTCATGTATGTGAGTTTTATGCAGTAAAGTCAAGAGTCTTGTTTTGGAAATTGTAGCAATTTATTATCCTAATCATTTGTATAAATAAGAGGTTCAGCCATGCATTACTTTTGCAAGCGAGATAATCAGCCGAAAATAAAAATTGAAGAGTAGAGAGTATTGATTGAGTTGAGCTTCCAAAACATCTATATTTAATTATTTTATTCCAACCTTCCAACAAGTCTGCTAAACTCTCAGCTTCAGAATATTTATCACTTTACCCATTTTACTCTATATTGTATCGAGTTGCCCCCTTGTAATCTGGCTCGATATCACATTACCTGCTTATACTCTCAATTGCATCGATTTCATCACTTTAACCCCTTCTCCTCTCAATTTCATCAATTTCATCAATTTGCCCCCCGTACTTTGGCTCTCGCCGTTAGTTTTCACACCTTTGACATTAACACCGTTTGTGCTAAGTTTGAAAAGAAAAAAAAAAAAAAAAAAAACCCCTCCCAGTTTAAATAATTATTAAAAAAATAAAAAATAAAATTATGGCTGGCGTCGTGGACTATGTTTTCTGGTTGTCTTGAATTTTTTTATTATATTATTTTTTGTTTTTTTACTTTTTTATTCTTTTTATTTTTTTGATAAATTATGACCTAAATGGCTTACAATATTTTTTCACGACACTTGTGAGGCAAGCGTTTGTCACACTGTATGGCCACCGCTAAAGGATCTTGTGCCACCAGATGTTGGGCTCGCACACCATAATCTAGTTCGATTTTATTTTTTATTTTGAATATTTTGTTCATACTAGGGATGATAATTATGTCATGGTTTTTTGGGCTAATTATTTGTTTACTATAGTGTGCGGCACTTAATCACTAATCAATGCCCATCGTGTTGGAGATTGCTATAGAATACTTTATTGTTTGGATTCCTGGGTGATTAAAATGAATAGTGTTACCCCTATTTATATAACTCTACCTTCTCAAGAATCATTGGTGATCATCTTGATCTAACGGCTAAGAGCATCTCCTACGATTTCCTACCAAATATATACAATGAGGATTCTACAAGATCTTCTAGAATCCTTTTAAGTGTTATTTTGGTTTCTTGGAATTGAGAAGATTGATCGTATCATCGGGGCGGAGCTGGTATTTGGTACATAATATCTGGATCCGAGATGGATCCCCAGCCCGAGATGGATCCCCAGCCTGGGTTCAGACCGGTGTTTAATAGATTGTAGATCCCGCATAAGGAGGTAATATTGGAGAATCCAAGCAAATTTACGATCCAGTTGCAAATTGAAATTACCAAATAGTCCTTAGACAATAGCAAGATCGGTAAGTTATATCCCTAATCGAATTCATATTTGCGAAATTGGAAAATATATAAACAATTGTACTGCAGAATAAGCATAAATCCTAGCATCTCTGCCAACAATACGCGATCTTATTTCTCTATTTTATGCATACTAGGAAGATGCACTTGCATTGCACGTGTCTAGTTAAATGTTTTAGAATTTTTTTTAGTTGCAATTGTACGTTTATCGAAGTAAAATAAAATTATATTTTTTTAATAGATATCTAAATTTACAATTACTACAAAAAAATGTATAATATTATAAATTCACCAGAGGATTTTGCTTTATAAGCTCCCAAAAAGAGGCTATTATGAAGTCAAAACTTGCATATTGTATTCTTCACGTAATGAGACTGAGAATTTATGTTTCAATGCTTCATCCCTAAATCGCTCAAAAATTCTTGCCCCTGCTTCAAATATCATGCAAAATTTGGACTCCTCCTAGAAAATATTCACAACATGCTATGTTTGGAATAATTACAGTTTTTGTCCCTATACTTGTCACCTAAAACGATTTTGATCCTCAAAGTTTTGCCGCTCCGAATTTAGTCCTCAAACTTATCACTTTTGGACAATTATGGTCCGGCCGTTAACTTTTCCAATTAAGTTAGACAGAATTGTTACGTGCACCGCACGTGACTTCCATTTGGCAGTCAAAATCGAGCTGGAGGATGAGTTGGACGACACCTCATTATCTCTCCTCTATCTCTCTCTTATCTCCATATAACAAATCATTAATTCCTCTTCTACAAAACCCCCAATTTTCCATCTTCTAATTCCCAAAACCTTACTCCAAATTCTACGAAGATGGGAATCGATTGACATAGCTGATCACTGCACATATATCTCTTTTCTTCGACCAACAAATGAATCTTTCACATAAATCTGAAATAAACATGAGGACTTCCACATTAAGATACCCTTGTTTTTCACATAAACCAAAAATTTGATATACAGAAGAACCTCGATAAATTAGTACTTAATAAATTAATAACCTTGCTAAAATAATAAATTTTTCCATTCCCGACTCGGGGAAAATGTGCTTAATTAACAATTCGCTAAAGTTATAAGATAATACACTTTCGAAAATATTAAGAAGCCCCGTATACTAGATATAAATTAATAATGCATAAAAATAATTCTTAAATTACATGGTACAACATATATTTTTACCGATAAGTGTATTTTTGTCTTTGTGTGTGTCTCTATCTCTCATATATATATATATATATATATATATATATATATATATATGGACAAAATACACTTCACCCCTATAAATTTTTCATTTTGGCACTTTCCCCCCTAAAATTTGAGAAAAGAGATAACCCCTCGAAATATTGTTTTGGTTGCACTTTATCCCAAAGCTAATTTTCGGTGGGCATATATGGTGCAACAAAAATAACATTTTAAAGGGGCAATGTGTGAAAAAATAATATTCTTGAGGGTCAGCATGAAAAAGAAAAAACACTCAATTCCGATTAATAATCCATTTGAATTTTGCTATTGGGGCAATGTGCATCAAGTGTAACATGCAATTTGTTTGATCTACTTTCTTAAATTTTGAAGGGGTAAAGTGCGAAAATTAAAAATTTATAGGGAATGACATGCAATTTGTTTGATCTACTTTTGGTGTCAGAAATCACAGCCATGGAGACAAGAGAGGTACCATCTGCTCATTTTCTG